CGCCATTATTTTTTAACAAAAATAGTACTAAAATATAGCTCTGTTCATATAAAAACCATGTCGATTAAAATAAAAGAGAACACTGTCAACAAAATTTTTTTTAGTCGAATTGACAAAAGATTCTTTTTAAGATTTTTAGAAATGATATAAAGAGGATATTTAACAAAAATGGAATAGTTAAATAGAGAGTCACAACATAGAGTGCCAAACAAAACTGTTCGTTAAATAAAAGTGTTCATTATATGGAGCTGGCGTTATAATATATAGTGGTTCCACTGTATATTGAAAAATATTCTATCAATTTATTCAGCATATACCGTACAATATTTTGCTCTGGAATTTTTTAATTAATATTCGAAAAATAAAATTTAGTATGAAAAAAATTTTTAATAATTTTCATTTAAAATTTCGCATATGTATATATTTTTATTGGTTTGGGCGGAAATAAGAATTTCATATGAAGGAATTCTTGAAAACTTTTAAAGTCTATTAATTTAAGAGTACCATAAATACAACACAATTTTTTGTGTTGAAGTCATTGTGTTGTCTTAGAAGTCATTGTAACAAAATTTTTGTATGCTGAATAATAATTCAGAATTTCTGAACTCTCTGTATTATTTTAAGAATTTTATTAAAAATAAAAATATAAATATGCTATTCAAGAAATCTTCTATATAATTTGATTTAAATTTATTTCTAAAAACCATTCTAATTAAAAATTATGAGAAAAATATGTAATTTTCTTAAAACAATAAATTTAATTGCAAATAGTTCAAAAACATTATGGTATACAAGAACCATCAACTTTAAATAAGAACCATATTAAAAATTTCTTTAAAAACTATTTAAATTCTTTAACATACAAACTCTTAGATATTAACAAAACTTTAATTTTTTAAAGAAATCAGTTTGGAATTGAATTTTCCTTTAGCATAAATTTAAATTCCTTTTGTGTAAAATATTTTCCAAGGAGTACTTATAGATTATGTGTATAGTTTCCTTTTTACGTTTGAGTAATTTTATAACATGTTATAGGGGTTTTTCGAACATAAATTCAACCTAATCAAATAATACTCGTATGTTTTTTTTTAGAAGTTAAGGAAGAAGTTTAAGTATGTGTTATTATGTATAAATTTATATATACGAATATATAATATTTGATTGTTCTTAAAATATGTTCAAAATTATTTTGATTAGGGCTACATTATAGTTAATTAAAATTATAAGAATGTGATAAGAATTTTGATTATTCTTATAATATAGAAAATCTACAATACTTAATTCTTGTATATTAAAATGAATATAAAATAAAAAATAATTGGAATAATGTTAAAAGAATTTATAAAAAAAAAAATATTGAGAAATTCCTTGATATTTTTTGTTTTTAATTTTTTTTATGTACTCGTATATGATTTTTGTATTTTTTATTTTATAATATTTTGATTACATTCTGTTCTGTTTTATCATTCAAGTTTAATATTAAATTCATATATCCTTTTATATTATATACTTGTATTAATATATAGGTATTATGAATTGAATGGAATATGTACAGGATCAATCAATTATTTAGAAATTCTTATACTTGGTCACTATATTTTAATAATTTCATGTAGATCGACTTATTCATGAGTCATAATATGTTGATTTAAATATTGGCCACAAAACAATAATAGTTTTCAATTTAGTTTAATAGTAGTAAATTCAGTGATTTATAATAAACACATTCAATCTGATTTAAATGAAAGATCCGGCATTATTATTTTATTCTCACTTAGAATAATTCAGTAATGCAAAGCAAATATATAATTAAAATGATAGAAAATAGCGCTGAAAGAAAACATTTTAATTTCCTTAAAGAATTGTTGAAAGCTATATTAAAAATGCCCGTTTTGTGGGGTTTTTTACAAACCGTTTTCTTGAATAGATAACGCGTGATTCATGTTATACCGCTAAGTTATTCTTATTCAGTATTATCTGGCAAATCATCATAGAAAAATTTACACCGCAACAACGTCTCTAAATGGGTTTTAGTTCCGCTTAATGAAAATCCGTTGTTTCATCGAGAAATTTTGTTTGGTGATGAGATCCATATTTATTTTTGGCTCAATCGATACGTTAATAAACAGAATTGTCGTATTTGGGCTGATGAGTAATCTAAACAGTTCCAAGAGCTATCGTTACATACACAAAAGACAATAGTTTGGTGTGGTTTATTGGACCGACAGAATAATCGGTCCATATTTCTTCAAAAATGAATAAAAAAAAAATTTTCCATATTTCTTCAAGGCAGAAAAATTAAAAAAAAATTTTTTTTTCACTTTCTTTATGATCGACCTACGAACTGAGCTACAGAGGTATAAAGAAATTACCGGCAAATTGTTCTTCACATTATCTTACAGTAATTTGCCTAAACTTCTGTTTTATTCTATTATTTTTAACTGAATAGGCTTATTCAACAATTTATATAATTGAATGAATTGGCAATTTAGATGTTGATACATTATAGCTAAATTAGAATTCAGCAATTCATTTGTTAGTTTGTGGAACTAAGATATACAGTATACTGTATAGTAAATAATTGGTATTTTAACACCTTCAACAACAAAATTTAAGTCATATTTTAGATTTTTTAAACCTACTGTTAGACCCTATTTTGTCTAACTACTGCAGACATATTATACATATACGTATATGTCATATACTTATATATATATACCTATATTCATTGAATTAAAATTTTCGAAATATTCTTATTATTTTGTATATATAGACTTTTAATTATACAAGTCTAAATAGTAAGTATAGCTATAGCATTTTTTTTAAGAGAATATTGCGAAAATCTTGATGTTCAGAATTTAATAAAATAAACGGTATTTTTTTTTCTTTGATATAACAATATAACATTAAAATTAAATAATATAACAATATTTTTCTATTTTATCTTAGTCTACCTTGTATTTTATTATACGGTATAACAGTTATAACTATATATTATAATACAATAATATTATGTATAGAAATTCATTAAATTATTGCCGTTAGAAAATTTTTTGTAACGTTTTTTTTTTCTCCTCAAAAAAAAATACAAAGAATGAAATAAGAATGAAATATAACAAATTTATAACTATAAAAAAATATTGAATATAAGAAAAGGATATTGTAGTAATTGAACTGTTCAAGTGCAAGAATTGAATTATTGTAACGTTAGAGATTATACTGAGCATATAAAAATGAAAAGGAGAACGAAAAATTGCCTAAAGGTTTAAAGAATTCTTCTATATTTTAAATAAATTTTTTATATTCTAGTTATTTAATATAACAGTTACTTGTATATTCTTATTAAGATTTCAGAGAAGAAATCAGAAACAAGAAAAAAAATATAAGAAAATAATGAAAGGAGCAATGAAAATTTTTCCTTTCTTTTTATTAATTCAATGAAATAAAATAATGTTGAGACTTAATTAAATCTTTACGCTTGCTTATAGGGAAGTTCTTATACTGTTTTCTTGTTCTTCTTCTTTTTCACAAGTTAATTAAAAATTATTCAATGTTCTTGAAAGAAATTTGTTCAATGTATTTTTATATTGTATAATATTGTTGTTTTTCTTGTTCTTCTTAAATTAAATTTGATACTATGCCAGTCATTTAAGAAAATTTTATATACTAACTCTTATAGCTCTTATATTGGAAAAAAATTTAAATAAAAATTGTTTTAGAATTTAAAAAGTCAATTAGTTGAGTATTGAATTTAATTTTGTTTTAAGTGTTTGGGAGTAATTATGAGTACCTTATGGGGTTCTGTGGTAAAATTTTAATTATTTAGCTATTTATATTTTATAGAAATTTTATACAATATTTGGTTAAATATAACAATTAAGAATTAAATTGAAAATCTGGAAGTAAAAGAATATGAAACCAAATTTTAGCTTATTTTAATTATTTTATATAAATTTAAAGTGTTAAGAATAATAAATTTTTTAAGGTCCTTGGATAATATTTTAGTAAAAATACTTTAAGGAATTTGTATGTTAATTGGAATGATTGCGTTAATTGATATTGAATAAAGATTCTTAAGTAAGGATGCCATAAAATATTTATCTGATTTGCAGTTTATTGCTTAGTATATATTTAAATTTTTTAGGCAAGAAGTGCTTTAAATCTAAGGTTTTATCTAGTATACTATCAGAAAAGTATTCTTCTGTGAATTAATACAGCGATTTATTAGGAATCCTTTCTGGAATACGTGGCATAATTACAAGATGCATTAATCTCTAACTAAATGGCTTACTTTCGAATCAAATCAATGTAAATCACATCCTTTGCTTGTAATATGAATCATACATTTAAGTATTCTTTGTTCATTATTACAAAATTTTAATATTTTTCTGCTGTTATACTTTTCTGCACGCACATAAATTTATTAGAAATTAAATAGAGCTAAAATTGTTATAAAATTTTAAAATGATTTTGCTTCGTATTTTTAAAAGAGCATCATAATTCACATTAGTTTTGTATAATGAAAATGCAATCATAATCCAATTTTAAACAAAATAATTCTATATAATCTTTATAATTATAAGAGTTATTATGCTATGTTAGCAAAAATTCTAGACCATAAATATTCGTTTGTATAATTTTATTGTATATGGTATATTAAAATGCTTCTATCAACATTATTCTTGGTATATCTTGGTACCTATATTTTAGTAATGTAAATATATTTTTGTTTAATAAGCGTTTTTAATTATTCATCCGTTTAATGTACACACAATATTACTCCATTGCATATTATACAAAATCATAAATTAGAAATTTCTTTACATAAAATGTTGTATAAAAAGGATACGATATTAATGCACATCACAAGTTGAAAAAATTTTGTTTTTCATTGCAAATCTCTGAGAGAGTTGAACTACTTTTCATTATAGATTTTATAATATTGTTCGCAATGTAAAATAGATCGTTTATTATTGTGTATTACAAACATTAAAACAACATTTTTTGTTTTTCTGTATATTTGATATTCAGTAAAAAGATAATTTTTGTTTTAATGTAATATTGATTTTTTTCACAAAAAAAAAAAAACAGAACTCATTACAATTCATCTTTTTCATCAAAATAATCTTCATCATCGTTATCATCATCACCGCCACCTTCTTTAGTATCTTCGTTACCACATATTTTACATTGGCTACGACTTATACCATAATTTAAACAATATTCTCCAATACATTCACAACAACCATTATGAAACCATCGATATGAATTCTAAAAAAGTTTAAAAACAAAAAATAAATAAAGAAAATCATAATAAAATTTGTCTAGGTACCAATTACCAAGGGTTCAATTGAAATTTTATAGAAATTTTAAAAATAAAATTCTAAAATGTTATTCTATTTTAATTTTATTAAAAAAATTTTTTGAGACTAATTATACAGGGTGTTTCGCATAAGATGACAATAATAATTTCAGGAATGATTTTTTGATCAGGGATGATTCTTTCCAGAAAAAAATTGTATGGTGCAGATATACTCATTTTCGGGCTACAGTCTGTTCCGAAAAAAAATATTAGACTTTTCCTGCATATAATCAAAATGCTTATAACTTCGGAACAATACAAAATAGAGTTATCATTAGGAGCTTGTTTTGTAGGCGTTTGATTGTCCTTTATTTTCGCTCTTACAATTAATTTCATTTGAGCCACAGTTTTCGAAATATAGTTCGTCAAAATCAGAATTTTTGTTCTTTTTGAATTTTTTTTACAAAACACGAAATTTCTCGAAAATTTTTGTTATTTTTTTTCTTTTTTTTCCTGTCTGTTTCGATGCGCTACGATGAGATCTTAAAGTTAATCCATATAACATTTTCCTTTATCTCTCATAGTTTTGCTAGTAAAACGTGTTAAATATGTTCAAAAAACATCATATTTGCCACCTTATGCGAAAAACCCTGTATAGATCAATATCATTGAATTTTATTTATATAAAATTTCTATATTATATCGCAATAAGTAGGTACTGAGTTTTAAAACAAAAACAAAAAGGGACTTACAGCTCCTAAACTTTCACATGTTTTAACACATTGATTAGATGATAAACATTTATCCATAAATAATACTGTACAGATATTTGTTTCTCTTGATGATAATTCATTTATTTCATTTGTATTTAAATTTACAGTAAATGCACTTAAATCATTTGGAAATGTAAATATTTTCCATTCATCATTTGTATTTATAGAATCGGATTTTTTTGTAATAGCATTAAATAAATTACGTTCACCACGAAAATCACCAACATGAGATATACGTGATAAATCTTCTTTAAGTAATGTTTTTGGACATAAACCATCAACACAATTACAACATTCAGCATATATATCACCCATACATTTAAAACAATTCTTTGATGGACGACATTTTAATTTAAGTTCTCCAAATGTATTATTTGATTCTTTTGTAATAATAGATGGTGCTCCAGTTGTAGTAGCAGTATCAATAATAGCATCATTTTTAGATTTAGATGATTTTAATTTACTATTCATTTTATTATTTTGTTTTTTATTATTATTATTATTGATTTTATTATGATTTTTAATATTATTAGAATTTTTATTATTTTCATCATTTATTTTATTTGGATTGTGAACCGGTTGTGTTGAAGTTGAATTACATTCACATAATTTCTTTTCCATACATAATTTAAATGATTTATCACATTTTTCTATATTACAATTTAAACATGTTTGTATCATTAATAGTAAAATATAAATTAAAAATAAAATTTTAAATATATTATTAATTCTATTTTTAAATATTATTAACATATTTTTGCTATTATTTAAACTTTAATTAGAATATTTTAAATTTTTATTATTACCACTATAAAAAAGATTTCTAAGCTTTGATTTGAACAAGTGAACGTATTATGAGAAACTAATTGAGTAAAATGAAAATTGAAAACAAAACTTAATTATACTCAGCTTAGTTTAAAATTTTAAAATTTTGAGAACTGAATTGAGATGATACGATAAAATTATATTGACATGACAGAGAGAATAAAAGAGAAAATAATTTTGTTTATCTTAAAATTTATTAAACTTGCATATTTAAATAAAAATATTATTTCAGAGTTTACACTATTCAAAAATTTAAAGTTATAAAACTATGTAGGTAGTAGATATTTATTTTGCTCGTAATTTAGTATGTATACATGTATGTTAATTATTCGTACATAATACATTATAATATTATATACATAAATACTGAATGTCATTACCACAGTGCCCATTTATATGCAATATTACAAAAAATTAAATTTCACACAGGACCAAATTGAAAATCATTAAATAAATTCCAATATTATTTATTTATTCCATTATAATTAATTTATAACATATTTGCATTCTATTCATTGGTTCAACAAATATACAAAAATGTTCATAACTGGATTTTGCAAAAAAATTAAGTTTTTTATGTCTGTAAACAATATTGTTCTGTCTGATACTTCTTGCAATATAGTTAAAATTTAACGTAATATTTATTAAACCCAGGAGAACTATTAAAAAATTCGAAATTTTTTAATGCTTAAATTATGTGCTAGTATCAGATTATCATTAATAATTAATTGTTCATCTTGTTTTAACGATAAATTTATTATTTATCATTAATTAAACAATAAAACTTAATTAATTTCATTATTTGTATTTGATGCAAGAAAAATCTACTTTATAATTTTTGATTAAGAAGGCAACTCTTTTAAAAAATTAATAAATACACGTTCCATGCTCTTTTTATTTAGTAAAATATTATACTTACTCTGAGAAATTTCTAAATAGCTCTTGAGAATAAACGTATGATTATTAAGCTAGTAATAAATAAAATCAATAATAAGAACCGGTTTTACAAGTTGTTGTTAAAAGAATTTTTTATTTTTTTTTTGAATTTTTCATTTGTTGTTGAAAATAATTTTATTTTATCTCTTCTTTCATATATTATTATATTTTGTTTGTGGTTTTTATGGTATTAACTGTTGTCGGTAATTTAATTCAATATGTGAGTGTATTTTGTTACCTTAAACATATGTACATGTTAAGTGCATATGCACCTTTATATGCCTATTTGTTATATGCACCTTTATATTCTTATTAAATTACAGATAAAATAATTTTTACAGATAAAAGAAATAACGAAATAAAGAGGAATAGGTAAAAGTACACGATATTATACACCCAAAATCTATACCTACACATATAGTATGTGTGTATGTAAATAATATTGCTGTTGTTACAAATAGGGTGACCATTATAATAAAAATCTTATTAGAAAAATTAAGCAATTGGAATTTTTTAGAAGAAAGTTTTCGGAACTTAAAAAAATATGATATTAAAAGAGATACATACACAAAGAGTATTTGAATAGGAAAATGTAGAATTTGGAAATGTAAATCGGTATAATTATAAGAGGGTATAATGACCAAGGTATAATTGTCAATATCCAAAGACTCGGTTGTAAATTGTGTTATAATAGAAATATAATTTTGTTTATCATATCTAATTTACTCTTAGTAAATTGAAATTCCTGATATAAAAAATCACCTGTTATACAAAATTTTATGTTACTGCAATTAATTTACGTTCATTCACAATTGCATTTCAATTTTCAGAGATAACAGAATTCCTTGTATAGTTCAAAACAAGAAATACCATCAATACCTCAAAAATATCAACATCAAAGACAATAATATTTTTGAACTAAATTATATTTGCTTTTAAAAACTTACTATATGTATGTACATACATATATATTCATGTATGTATGTTAGAACAAATATTTGTCCTTAATTAACTTTAACTTAATTAAAATACACATTTACTATTTTATTTATTACATATAAACGATAATATAAAATTATTGTGAAAATTTTTTATTGTAAATTTAATGAATTTTTTACTTTTATGCATTTATTGTTCAAACATTATTCAAATTTTTAAAGCATTTGCAGTAACATTTTTTGATAACTGCATACATATATACATACAATATATACATACATACATTTTATGTTGCATTCCATATTTTATGTAAATTACTTTAATTGGAATGTTATAGAACAAAATACTATATTAATACCGATAATATTATACATACTTATATAACCAAATCCATGGTTTCTATAGTAATATTTTATCTCTTCTCTATTATTATTAATGAAATTCCGTAGGCTGTATGGTTTATTTTCTATACAAAGCATAAAATGTACATTTTTTAAGTGTATGTATGGGTATGTATACAATTACTGTTATATTCATTATTACTTGTACATTATTATTTGGTTTAAAACAATTAATTTACATAATTATTATGCTATTGATTGATTTTGAAAATAACATTTTATATCAAAAAATCAATTTATTTTTCAATATAAAAATTTCTGTACATAAAATTTTCGTTATAAAAGTCAACTATGTATAATTGTGTACAGATATACATATTGTTATACATAGGAAATCAGAAATAATAATATGAGGAAAAATTCAATTTATTTTATAGATATCAATACTAATTAACTATCATCAAGAAAAATAAATTTCTAATGGATAGTTTATTTTCTGAAGGACTTTTATTTATATATAGAAATTTTTTACAATGTTATTATCTAGTAAAAAAATATTTAAACTAAAACAGAAATTTGAAAAAACAGTCGAATCCACATGTAAACAACTCGGATAAAAGCAAAGTTTGCTTATTAGGAAAACAAAATTGGATTTCTACATAATATTTCTTGTTACAATTTACACGCTTGTAAACACTGACTACAAGTAAAATTGATGCTTCTTATTTTTTTTTTTTTTAAAAACTTTAATTTCATCTAAAATTCAATTTAGGCCTTACAAAATGATCTACTCGAAATTTCATTTCAAATTCGAAAATATTTTTCAAGCGACGTCCGTGAGTAAAAAATTTGGATATAAGCAACAAAAATCGTGCAGTTATAAATGGGTCCTACTGCATAATGCCATGTATTTTTACAAAATTAATGATTGTTAGGTACTTTGCTAGCTGCTTTTACATAATATGCATATAATATGCTTATATTCATTTGTGGAAGGGTTTACACATATTACATCTATTTTGGTAGTAATTTTGTGCAACAAAAATTACAAAATATATATATTTTTTTTTTCTTTCGGGAACTGGTTATAAAATCCTAAAATAATTTACATACAAGCGGTATACTCTGAACATAAAAGCGTCTACAATTTATCAAATTAATTTTTAAATAACTGTAAAATTGCTTTTATTTTAAAAATTTTAGTTTGTTTGTAAACCCTGACACGACAACTGGTATACAATTCAGCTTATTAGTTTTAATGTAACTGGTGAATTGTGTAAGTAGAAATATAATATTAGCACAATTTGGAAAATCCGGAACTTTTACAAAAATTAAGTGCCATCTATTGTTCTTTAATTTTAGAACATAAGAGTATGTAAAATATTTCAATATTTTATATTTTGAATTGAAAAACAGCTTTCCGCAAGATCAAATTTTAAGAGTGCCGTATAAAATTAAATTTTACATGCAAAATTTTCCAATATTCGCATTTTGTAGCATAGTGTAGTATAATATTGTCGTATATATGCTATTTTTACTATAACTTCAATTCCAAATTTCAATTTAAGTAATTGTATACTCCTATGTATACATGAAGTGTTCATCGTAAATTGTAAATTTTATATTATTTGTTTTAGGAAAAATTTAAATCATCAAATTTATTTTACATAAAAAATTGTTTAACTGTTCGCCGTATACTAAAAATAATATGAACAAAAATTCAAAATTTTTTAATTTTTGCAATTAGTATATTAATAAAAGAAAATTTTTTGGGTTTTAACTAAACATAGAAAGTGTTGGTTAGTGTATTTGTGTAATTATGAATTTATTCAAAATTTATTTTGGCATATTACGAGTATTAACGCCCTACCATTTTCCATTTATGGGAGTAATTGCAAGAATTTAATGTTCTAAAATTTTAAAATACTAAGGGGTTTAAAAAAAAAAACAGCAAAGTTTTATTTTTATTCACAAAAAATGTCATACAAAATTATTTGAAAGTTGATTATTGCTATTTTGTTGCAAATATGTACTATGTATAACAATTAGAGTATGCAGGATTATAAAATATTTGTCATGATTTATTAATATTAATTAAAATATTAGTGTATACTATATTTTTGTATACTATATTTTAGTTTATAATTTAATAACTTGGTTAGTTACCACCATATTACTTGTATATTTTCTAGTGTCGTACAGATTTTTATAAAAATATTTTTGAATTTAATATTTAAAATCGATTATTAATTAGGTATAAAGTAAATTGAATATTTTTGCGATTTTGCGAATTTAGATATTGGAAAAGTAAGGTCGTAATAGGTTTAGATATTATTTGCGTATAATATTTTTATATTTATGTACATCCGACGCAGTTTTAATTGCCTGACTATAAAATACACTGGAAGAAATTTGTTCGTGTGTGACTGCACAGAAATGAAATGGATATTGTTATTTACCGTCTATTATCATTTAAAAGTATAATGTGCCGCATAATATAACAGGGGAGTCAAAACTTTAGCGTTAAGAAATGTAAAATTGTTGTTATGGTTTTATTTCTGCATAAATATAATTGATATTAATTTAGCTTACATATATATTATGTACTTAAATGATTACACAGCCTTTATTAGCAAAATTTCGATTAAGGCGATAAAATTTTTGTTTTTTCATCCTGTTATACCATAATATTTGATTTTACAATATG